CGCCCTCATCTTCGGTAGTTCCCCATCTTGATTTCCAGGCCTCTTTGCTCTGCCCCGGTGATCCACGGCTGCCTGGTGTTTGGCCTGCACCGAGGGGTTTTTGGTAGGCATGGTCTGCCTCTTGGTCCAGATCGGATCGTGAGTATACGGTCAGACATATCGAAAGAAGAACTGCGTGTCTGGTGGTCAGTCAGAGGTTAACTGTGTCGCATGCGTGTGTGCATACCGAACAGAAGCGGCACAAGCCGCGGAAGGCGTGGCCTCATTGTGGGTATGGGTTGGAAAGAAAGACAACGGGAAGAAAGAAACTCATCGCGGCATGTCGTTGGACAGGGAGCAGGGGTGCGACTACCTGACGCAGTCGTGGTGAAGTCGTCTGTAGAGGCCAGCTTTCCACTATCGACGCTCGGGTGGCAGTCGTGCTCCGCTGCCGTGTCTGGCCAATGAGCGTTGACGTCACCTTAATTACGCACATGTCGCATGGCCAACACGCTGCAACGGTGCCTGGCGCTTCCTTGGCCTCTTCCTTGCACACTCGCCCGTCTCTCATTCTTGGGAGTCAAGTCAGCTTCAGTTTCAGTCCGTCGCATCCAACCGCCGTATCGCTGTCTTTGCGGACGAAAGCCTTCGTGCAGGGGCCGGTAATCGACTTGATGCCGCATTTGTAATCCGTTGTGACACTAGCATCCTTGCATGTTCGTATGTATCATTATGACTTCGACTTCCAACGCCTTGTTTTTTGCAATGTCCATCTTCCCTCATCCCTTTTCGTTCATGTGAATTCCCTCCCTGATCACGCGCCATGGCCATATCAAACGGTTCGACGGACCGAGAGCCTCTGCTTCAACGCTCGACATCTCCCACCCTATCTGCAAGATACGCCAAGAATGACGAGCTATACATCTCAACATCTCGGGGTGCTTTCATCGTCGCATCCGTCGGCCTCCTGATCTTTCTTCAAGGTATGATTCACCGCCATTGTCATAATCCCACGGCTGTAATCACGTAAACTTTGTTTCTTCCAAAAACAACACAGCCCTGAGTATCCACGGCCACTCCCTGAATACCCACTCACGTGACCATTGATGAAAGACGCAGAACAAGAGTCCTAACTACTGTCAGCTACAAATATCTCTATCCTTACAACGACACAGTCGTCTATTGCTGCAGATCTCGATGCTTTCGAGAATGCGAGCTGGTTCACTTCCTCCTATCTGATCGCCATGTCATCTCTGGCACCTCTCATGGGAAGACTGTGCCAAGTCTTCAGCCCCCGACTATGCATGTTCTGTTCTACAATGGCGATCTGTATCGGATCCATCATCACATCTACATCCATGTCATTTGAACATTTCATCTTGGGCCGTGTCATTACTGGAGCGGGTGGCGGAGGCATCTTCATCGTTGCCAGCATTATGGCAATCCAAATGACCAGTCCAAGGCGACGGGGTTTATACATGGGCCTTGCTAATACTGCAATGACAGTCGGAGTTTCCCTTGGTGCGGTCATTGCAGGTGCACTTGAACCCCGAATCGGATGGGTAAGCTCTTCATTTGTGTCATGTAGGAATTGTTTCAGTTCGACTGACGTGTGAAGAAACCACTGTTTGGCATCCAAGCACCCTTGAGTTTCATTGCAGGCCTTTGTCTGCTATTCTCGATACCAGCAAGCCATACTTCCAACAACGCCAAATATACTGGTCTCTCAATACGCGAAAAACTTGCTCATATTGATTACTCCGGGGCCGTACTACTGACCACCACCGTTGTCCTCTTCCTCTTGGGGTTATCTGGGCCAAAGATACTTCCAACACCCCTAATTCTGTCAGCATTCGCTCTTCCCGTATTTGTGCTTAATGAAGCCTATGTTGCCAGCGACCCCGTCATTCCAGTCTCTGTTCTGCGATCCCGAGGAACTCTTTTGACCTGCCTTGCAACGACCGGCTTCATGATGGCTCGGTGGAGCATCCTCTTTTACACACCAGTATATTCTCTTGCTGTTCGAGGCTGGGCACCTGCGGTGGCTGGGTCGATTCTTATCCCAACAAATGCTGGTTTCGCTTCTGGTGGTCTGCTTGCAGGGGTTTTCCACATCAAGAGAACAGGAAGCTTCTATCTTCACACAATAGTCGCTATGGCCTTGTTCCCCATTACCATGGCTGTACTTGCATTCATATCAACACCAAGCAGTCCATGGGCTTTGTATGTGACTGTGGTTTTCATTAATGGCCTTGCCACAGGAGCTGCGACAAATTATGCGCTTGTCCATCTTCTTCACCTCACGCTTCCAGAAGTTCATCCGATTGTCATCTCTCTCCTTGCAACTTTCCGCGGCTTTTCGGGTTCGTTTGGCTCGGCAATTGGCGGTGGATACTTTGTTCGTGTGCTGCACAAGTCTTTGAACAAGGGTTTCGCGCGCGCCGGACTCAAGAATCGCGGTGAGCTGACGAGGAGGCTTCTGGGAAGCCCAGCACTGGTAGACAAGCTGGACGGCAAAGACAAAGCTATTGCCGTTGGAGCATATACGGATGCCATCAAGGCCCTGTTCTTGTGTGCTGTAGGGCTGTCTGTCATCGTGGTGCTCGTACAGGCTGGCACTGGCTGGAAGGAACCAGAGAAATCCGAGGAACAAAGAGAGGATGGAGGAGCTCAAGTCGAAGACAACGTACCTACTGGTGCTTGATAATCTTGTGTTGTACATAAGGTTCCCTTGTATCATACCCATTCGGACTTGCTCCTCTTGTAAGCAGTGTATTTAGATATTTGGAAAGTACAATGACTTTACCGTCGTCCATTTCCCCGCATCAGACACAAAATAATATTCAGCACCTTGCTCAGACTAGAACAACCTTGACTCGACTTCGGGTTATTATGCTTGTCCCTGGGCTAGATTCTTATCATGCTCTTCTTATCCTCTTACACATAGCAGTGCTCGTTGTTCTCTTCCATCATGTCTTCACTGCATTGTCTGATGCAGTCACCCGGAGCAAACAAGAGCGTGTATGCCATTACCATATCGTCATATCACGATTCTATCATCTTCTTCCTGCATCTCCCGGCATTTTCCGGCCTTGCAGCGACTGTTTGCTGTTGTTTGCGCACAGAGCCCGTGCTCCCACGATGCTTTACGACTGCCTCTAGACGGTATCGCACCGTTCATCTCTACCTCTCCTTCCCCACCTCACGTTTTTGCAACGCGTCGTGTCGTGTCACCTCCAGAAAATCGATACCTTGCTGGGTTCCGGCAAAGCATTCCGCAACAATACAATGTAAGTCTACCTCATCGCAGCGCACAACCCCATGCCTTCTATGTTGAGAATTAGCATAGAACCAAGGACAATCAGGCCAACACCGTAAGGTGACAAACAACTTTACTCGGGACTATACCTTTACATAGAAGACGTCAGAATGCCGTCTGCTGCGTGTCACCCCAGCTTCACTTCACCGTCCCTTGTCATCGCAGGTACATAGCTAACCGTTAACCCAAAGACTAATCACTCTCTTTACAAAACAAATCTCCTCACCATGGCTCGTGGTCCACCCACCATACCCACAACCATGATTTCTAATCCCTACCCCAAGCCCAAGGAGCATATCCCACGTTTGACTTACTGCGAGCTCTGCGATCGCACGCTGCCCACCAAGGACTGGCAAGCACACAAGAACTCCAAGAAGCATCGCAAAATCGAGGCCAAGGAGCGTGGAGAACTCGACGCTGTCAAGAACTCTACTGACTTTGGTGGCGATTCCATGGGTTTCGGTGATGCTAACGAGTTTGGCAATGCTACGGCGTCAGGCGATGGCGATTGGGGCGCTGGCGAAGGCTTCACTACTACGATTAAATCTACTAACTACAACAACCGCGCCGGTGGTGGCGGCGGTGGCGGTGATCAACGTGCCTGCTTCGGCTGCGGCGAGACTGGTCATCAGAAGCGCGATTGTCCCAAGGGTTCTGGCAGCCAGGCCTGTCACAACTGCGGCGAAACGGGGTAAGTTACATCATAGTGTATCAGAGAGTTCATACTAACTTCAAGCAGTCATCGCAAAGCTGACTGCCCTGAGCCCCCTAAGCCCAGGGGTGGCGGTGGAGGAGGCAGTGACCGTTTGTGCTTCAACTGCAACCAACCTGGGTATGTTTCTCCTCTCCATGGAATTGGCACCACATCTGTCTCTTTTACTGAAATCATCGACTAACCCTTGCCCAGCCACAACAAGTCTGATTGCCCCGAGCCTCGCACTGGTGGAGGAGGCGACGGCGGCGGCGGACGTGCGTGCCACAACTGCGGCGAAGAAGGTCACATGTCCCGCGAATGTGACAAGCCTCGTGTTATGAAGTGTCGAAACTGTGACGAGGAGGGCCACTCTGCTCGTGATTGTACCAAGCCGCGCGATTGGAGCCGAGTCAAGTGCCGCAACTGCAACAACTATGGTCACGGCGAGAAGCGCTGCCCTGAGCCCATTGTCGAGAACACTAGTGGTGAGTGGAGTAACGATGCTGTTACTGCTGGTTCGAGTGGCGGGACTGGCGAATGGGCTGATGCTTCGACGGCGACGACGGGCAACTGGGCTGATGACACCACTGCTGCTGCGGAGAACAACGAGTGGAGCAATGCGACTGCTACTACGATGTGGTAAACCGCTCCAGTAGACCCGATGCTTGTTAGCGATGAGGAATCAGTTTCGCTCAACATACGCATTTTCTCAGAAGGCGGTGGATGATATCGCACTCGATGTATCAGGCGGTGGTGGATAGATATGTACCCAAGACTCAGCTGAGTTCGACATTGACGACCATACGAGGGTCGGAGTGGGGGGAACCATTTGCGTGTGTCTACTCTTGTTTGAAGCGTAGCAAGATCACGTACAGAAAAATCAGTGGGCATGTATGAAGTACTTCTCAAGGGATTAATAAATGCAATGGCATGGTCAAACAGAAAAACAGATAATGTCTATATTCTAATAATGTGACATGAGATTTTTCGTAGGCCCATTTTCTTATCCTAAGCAACACCCAACCGCATACTAACAGCTCGTCGGTGAGCCTCCAGCTCCTCGACACGCGCCAACTCCATGACGGCAGGACCGACGTTCTCGAGACCCTGGCGGGTAAGGTGGGAGCTAGTAATGTGCTTGACGTAGGATGCGAGGTTAACACCGGAGTACTGCTTAGCGTAGCCGTAGGTTGCTATTAAAAGAACTAAATTAGCCACAATTTCCACGAAAAAAAGAGAGATCGGTAAAAGAAAAAGGGAAAAAAGAAAAGGGGGCTAGGGGGGCAGGGGAGATGCGAAACTTACGTAGAGAGTGGTTGACACCAGCAGAGTAGTCGCCCACACTTTCCGGCGTCCATTCGCCAATAAAGACACTTCCTGCGTTCTCGACCATTTCGGCAACCTTTTCTGCGTTCTCGACTTGCAGAATAAGATGCTCAGGGGCGTACTGATTGCTTAGCTGCATGGCCTCGTCCATGGTGGCAACAGAGAGGGTAAATGAGTGTTCGATAGCGCCACGCACAATGTCCACACGCGGTAGAGCCGTGGCCTGCTTGTGTAGCTCATCTTCAATAGCCGTGAGCTGAGCGTCGTTGAGTCCGACAGCGATCAAAATGACTTGAGAGTCTACGCCGTGCTCGGCCTGGCTGAGGAGATCTGAAGCGACGAAAGCTGGGTTTGCCGACGCATCGGCGACAACGAGGACTTCGCTTGGTCCTGCGGGCATGTCGATGCTAACACCAGCATTTGTGTCGTTGGAGACGTGCATCTTGGCAGCTGTAACGAACTGGTTACCAGGACCCAGGATCTTGTCTACCTTTGTCACGCTCTCGGTGCCGTACGCCATTGCTGCTACGGCTTGCGCACCGCCGGCGAGAACGATGGATTCTGCGCCAACCTTGTGCGCGACGTAGACCACTTCGGGAGTCACTTTGCCGTTTGACCGTGGTGGCGTGGCGAGGACAATCTTTTTGCAACCGGCTACCATGGCGGGCACGCCCAGCATGAGCGCTGTAGATGGAAGCACAGCAGTACCGCCAGGCACGTACAGGCCTACTCTCTCAATAGGACGTGCGAAGCGAGAACATACAATGCCCGGCATGGTTTCGACTCGCAGAGGCTTGTCTTCCTTTTGGGCAGCGTGGAACTTTCTGATGTTTTCAAAAGATACGTCAATGGCTTTGGCCGTCTCCGGTGCCAGTTCCATGAGCTCGGGAGGGAATGGCGCCTTGAGCACGGGCGAGGCTAATGATGTTGCCTTTTCGAACTTGTGCGTGTACTCTAGTAAAGCAGCATCACCGCGAGTCTTGACAGCTTCGATAATAGGTCGGCAGATGCCCAGAATCTTGTCGGTTGAGCGTTGAGATGGGCGTTGCAGCGCAGCAGCAATAGTCTCTGGGGTTTCGTTGGCAGTAACGTAGCGCTTCATGGCGATGCGGCCGTCCTTTGTACCGGCCGGGTCGTCTTTGCTCTTGGGGACTGAAGCGGCTTCCTTAACAATCTCCTTGGTGGTTGAGTCATCTGGCGCGCCATTTGTCGCTGCTTGCGCGACAAAGGCTGGCTTTGCGTCGCCTTGCCGCCTCTTGACTTTGATGCTCTTAGCATCAAGGTTGCGCTCGACATCTTCCAACGATACACCAGCAGCAATGCATTTGGTCAGGGCAAAGTAGAAGAGATCGGCAGCCTCGAATGCGATTTCTTCCTTGGTGTTTGCGTCGCAGAGTTCGGTAGCTTCCTCGAGTATCTTAGCCCTCAGCAGCTGTGCGTCGTTGAACAGGCGGGCGGTATATGAGCCTTCTGGGGCCGACTCCTTGCGGCTTTGCAGTGTTTTCTGCAGCTTTGACAGGCCGCTGTAGTCGCCGAAGCAGGTGGGTGTCGCAAGGTGGCAGAAACCGCGACCCTTTTGGCGAACGACAAACTGCAAGCAATCACTATCGCAATCCAACGACAATGACACAAGCTCTTGAACGTCGCCGCTGCTCTCGCCCTTGTACCACAGACCCCTCTTTCGGCTCTGGTATACGCCCCGGCCAGTCTTCAGACTCTCGGCTACACTCTCTTCACTGCTGTACACAAGTCCAAGGGCGACGCCCCGCTCGTCGGTTACTAGAGTAGTGAACAGGCCATCGGGTCGGTCGCTTGTCGCATTGGCCATGAGCAGCTTGGCGACGCTCAAGGCGCCAGTCTGTTTCGCAGGATCGACGGTAAGCTTCTCGGCGGCCACGATGGGTACAGCAGGCATGTTTGCGAGCGCAAGCACCTTGTCGGTGTCTGGGTTTGCGAACGAGACGAAAGCGCTCGTCTTGCCGCCATTGAGCGCCGCCTGCACTTGGTCGATATTTTCGACCTGTTCCAAGTAGACAGTGGTCTGTGCCTTCGAATCGTCATCTGAAGTAGTATTTCCAGGCAAACATAGAACCGTCCTGTTCTGGTCGATATGCAAGGCCTTGAGCTGGTCCAACTGCTGACGAGTGACAAAGACGTTTGCGGCGCCGGCATCGAGGATGGAAACAACATCGTCAATGGATGTGAGCGAGGACACATGGACATAGTTGGCGAAGCGGCCGACAGACTGCTTTAGGTGGGAAAGGGCATCGTCGACGCTGTCATCGGTGACTCGGAAGAATACATTTCCAACAAAAGACAGGGCCTGGACATCAAGACCTTGGGTCTGTTGCTTGTACGTGGCCAGGTCAATGGCAGCAACCAGGGTGGGCGCCATGTCAAGCAATATTTTTTGCAATTGATACTTTGAATGCGCGCGCAATTGCAGCAGCAGCGGAGTCAGTCGTGCATGAGTCGATTGTTGGAAAAAAAGTCTAGGTGTACTAGACTAGCTGACCGAAAATGGATGAGCCGCGGGGTTGAGTCCGATGTGCCCCGCCATCATCCATGACGCCACTCCAAGCAGCAGCAGCAACAGCAGCAGCAGCACTGTTTGCCCGTATTGTATTCAAAGCTGACATGATCAACGTTTATTACAAACTACAGCCTTCTTACTATCCCGTCCGAAAAAACGGAAGAATGGACATATTAACTGTGGAGCTGCTGAGATGTGTGCAACCGATGTAGCTGAGAAGCCACAAAGAGCCAAGTCAAGTTAACAGGGTATCCTGCCAAAACACCTTGACGCAAAGAGGGGCAACCCTCGCGAACGAGGTACATGATTGGGCAAGTGCTATCGTTAATACCTTGCTGTACACCGCATACCGTATTGAACATGTATATAGTTTCGGAAGAGACAAGTCCCGTTTGACTATATGTGTGCTGACGTGTGCACTCTCTGTTTCAATTGATCGACGTAGTAGTCGGAAACAAAACCATCCAGATCCGACCGTATGAAGCCCGCTTTAAATCTGTATTCCTGCTGCAACATTATTGGTAGTATATTATCTCTCACATTTACTTGGGCATAGTAAATATATAGCTAGCATACTACTTGTTGAATCAGATTTTTGTGAAAAAGCAATGTTGTAGTGGTGCTGGTATTTGGTAGTAAAGGTGACTTGTTTGGGTGGGCTGGCCTGGGTTCTCCAGTTTGGGTGTACTATCGGCTGACAGAGAATATGACACCAGTACCCTGCAGACATATGCAGCATGCTATACGCGCATCTACAAGCCAGGGCGTCTCGCCTTGTCCTTAAATACCTGGCCATGCCCCTTCCAAAACATGACAAACCGATTCCATTCCTCAATGACAAACATGTCTTACTCTCCACCAGACTCGGCCAAGCCATTTACGCTCAACATCTCCGACCAGGACCTGTCCGAGTGGAGACAGCTTCTCCAGCTCTCCAGGCTTCCGCCAGACACATGGGAGGGGCGGCAAGAAGACCGTCGCTTTGGTGTAACACGCAAATGGCTTTCCGAGACGAAGGATTACTGGCTTAACCAATATGACTGGCGTGCTGCTGAAAGGCATATCAACTCTTTCCCGAATTATAAGATGCAGATTCAAGATGTCGATTTGCATTTTGTCGCTCTCTTCTCTGAGAAGAAGGATGCAATTCCTATGATACTCATGCATGGATGGCCTGGCAGCTTCATCGAGTTCTTGCCCATACTCAGCATTTTAAAAAAAAAGTATTCGACCAAGGATTTGCCGTACCACATCGTGGTGCCGTCGTTGCCTGGCTACACTCTTAGCACGATACAATCTCATGATAAGCAGTGGGACCTCGAGGATTCCAGTCGTGTCATGAATCAGCTCATGCTGAACCTAGGGTTTAACAAATACCTTGGTCAGGGAGGAGACGTGGGGCATTTCACGGCGCAAATCATGGCTAGAGAACATGAGGCGTGCGTTGGAATACACTGTAAGTGGTAGGCCCAAAGTATTCGCTGGTGAAGTACTCATGTGTTCAGTGAACATGATCGCTTCTCTTCCCAACCCGGACGAGAACACGGTCATGGATGAAGTAGAACGAGAGGCGGTTGGCCGTGCCCAGAAGTGGATCACGACTGGCATAGGCTATGCTCTCGAACACGGCACCAGGCCGGGCACCATTGGAAGCGTCGTGGCGTCGAACCCATTGGCGATGTTGGCATGGTATGTGTTTTCTTTGGATTCAGGTACATGTGGTAGTAGTAGTAGTAGTAGTAGTAGTAGTAGTAGTAGTAGTAGTAGTAGCAGGCAAACTGACGTTTGGCAGGATCGGGGAGAAGATGCTGGAATGGACAGATGAAGATCCATCGCTCGATGAGATTCTGACCAACATTTCCTTGTACTGGTTTTCCGGTTGCTTCCCGTCGTGCCTTGGTGTTTACCGCCAGTATTTTGGGGGTGCCCCGATTCCGAAATGGAAGTTCACTGAGAAACCTTTGGGCTATTCATTCTTCCGGTTCGAGCTGGGGGTGGCAGTCAAGAGCATTCTGGAAAAGGAGACGAATCTGGTCTTCTACAAGCGGCACGAACGGGGCGGGCACTTTGCGGCTCTGGAGCGGCCGGCAGATCTATGGGAGGATATTGAGGGGTTTGTTAGCAAGGCCTGGAAGGTATGAGAGGGTCGAGGTGCATGTCACCACATAGCGGCAGGGTGGGCCGGCTGACTCGTCGAAGGATTGTCGCGCATTGTCGAGATTGTAGCCAGTCGGCAGTTGTTGTGTACATGGGCCAGGCGGTGCATAAGGGGGGAGGGGGGAGCATGGCGTGGAAGTGGATTGGAGACTAAGAGTAGGCCAGGGTACCTGCCACAATGAGCTAGCCTAGTCGTGGTCAAGTGAGCGCCACAGTCGATGCAGCTACTGGCTGTGCCGCATCGATAGAGTTTGACGCGTGCCATTGCATCGGAATTTGCAAGTGACCATGGCCATTCCACATGGCGAGTGAAAGAAGCCGTGTTTGTGGTGGCAGCTAGTGTTTTGTTAAGCTACCGAGTAGTAGTAGACAATAATGAACAAGGGCAGCACTGGGCCCGGCGAATTGTATCCGCGTTCCGGCTGGATAGAGGCCGAAGGCATGACGCAACCTGCATTGCTCGCCCCCACCCCTCATCTTCTCATTCTTTGTCCTCCCCGCCATTCTCCGCACTGTGGGCCTGTGCCCGTGTTTCTTCCCGGCAACTGCGCCGACCGACTCCGCTACTCCGCTTTTGCAGAGTACGAGTACATGGAGTGCTGGACGTGCTCAGTCTGTACACTATGCGTACTACGGTTACCGTGGTCCAACGGGCTTGTGTCGGTGCTGGGCCCGACAACTGTTCCTGTTGGTCGCATGAGTCGGCCCACGGACTAGCATGACTTCAGCCTCTGCCACTTTGGCCGAGCTACCGTAAGTAGTAGTACCATGTACCACCACGACTAACCACTTGCTACATGCACACTACACATGTCGTTGCCTCCGCCGGGGCTCGCTTGGCTGGCCTTGCTCTCAGTCCAGTCCAGTCCAGTGCATACACCACCCTACGCATTGGGGCGCAATCTCTTCAGAAACCGAACCACCTAGTGAATGCACACCTCGCCCAAAAAAGCCTTGTCACCGACTTGGTGTCAACCTTTCGCACCAGAGGGAAAGCTTGCCACTGGGGCAGCAGCATCGTAGTCCATAGTACCTCGATAGCTGTACTTACAAGACCTGCACTCACCCTATCGGCCCAGTTCGCCATTGTGGGTCCCGGGCCACACCTAGCTCATTACGCGGTCAATATGCCGGCCTACAACACGAGTTCCCCCAGCTTCCAGATCCTGTCCTGTCCTGCATGTGCATGTGCATGTCCCGATGAGTCTTGACGTTGTTTTTAGCCGCCGCGCCAAACCTGATGCCACTCGACCGACTACGTCCCTGCATCCGTCCCCGTCCAAACTAGGCCCCCGGCGTTGGCCCTGCGCTTTTATCCTGCTTCTTTTCAATTTGCAAAGCTGCCGCTAGCAATCTGCCGTCCATGCCACCCAGCTTCGGACAATGATAAAAGACGAGCTCCGGCCCAGCACTTGATGTCGACGCAGTAGAGTCATTCTTCATCATTCATCTCCCAACATGAAGCTCCAACACTCTCTCAAGGCCACTCTACTTGGCGCTTCGCCAGCTCTCGCCTATCCCCAAGCCAGAGCTACCGCTGACTTCAACTCAAAATGTGCTGATGTAGCCTCCAGTCTTGAGGTTGAAGGTGGTATCGTCACCACTGCCGAGTTTGTCGCTGCTGGTACCAACTTTACCATACCCGTTTACGACCCAACATGTGGCGGCGATGGAGCAGCAAGTCAAGTCGTTGGAGCCGACCTGTGCCGTGTCGCACTCTACGTTTCCACTTCTGAGCGATCAGGATTCAACATGGAAGCCTGGCTGCCATCCAACTGGACAGGCCGATTTGTCGCCCATGGTAACGGCGGTTTGAATGGATGCATCAGTTATATAGACTTGGCCTACACATCCCAGCTAGGTTTCGCCGCCATTGGAACCAACAACGGTCACAACGGAACCAGTGGCTTGCCCTTCTACAACAACCCAGACGTTGTTGAAGACTTTGCCTACCGATCGTAAGTCACATTCTTCACGCACGCACACACTCAAGCATGCAGGCTAAATACTCCAGTCTACGCAATGGCGCTACCGTTGGCAAGCAAATCGTTGGCGACTTTTACGGCAAGCCACAAGACAAGTCCTACTATCTTGGATGCTCAACTGGTGGACGACAAGGCTTCAAGATGGCCCAAGATTTTGCAGATGAATGGGATGGTATCCTTGCCGGAGCCCCTGCATTCTCCTTCAACAATCTTACTTCGTGGTCCGGTCACTTCTACACGCTCACTGGCCCACGCGGCTCCCCAACTTGGGTCTCGGAGGCAAAGTGGGCGCAGGTTCATGCTGACGTCTTGGCCCAATGTGACAAGATCGATAACCTCGAAGATGGCATTCTCGAAGACCCGCTGCTTTGCAAGTATGATCCCTCGGGTCTGGCTTGTGAACAAGGCAACAACTCTACCACCTGCCTGACGCCCGATGAGCTCGCGACAGTTACCGCTGTCTACTCGCCACTTACCAACGACCAAGGCGATTTGGTTTACCCGCGCCTGCAGCCCGGAGCCGAGATCCCCGCCTCTTCCGTGCTCTTTGGCGGTAACCCCTTCCCTTACACTACTGATTGGTTCCGCTATGCTATCTACAACGACCCCACTTGGGACCCTGCCACTTTGGGCTCAGACGACTACAACAATGCTGCACGCATCAACCCCTTTAATATCGAAACATTCAAGGGCGACCTTAGCAACGCACAGAAGAGTGGTACCAAGATCCTACACTGGCACGGCACCAGCGACTACATCATCTCTAGCGATAACAGCGCGAGGTACTACAACCATGTCAGCTCTACCATGGGCCTGCCACCCAAGAAACTCGATGAATTCTACCGCTACTTCCATGTCAGTGGTACCGGCCACTGCAGTGGAGGAGATGGTGCCCATGCCATTGGTCAACAACTCGGCGAAGTCAATGGCTACGACCCTGAACACAATGTTCTCATGGCCTTGGTACAGTGGGTAGAACAAGGCAAAGCACCCGAAGCCCTTGTCGGTACCAAATTCGTCAACGACACCGCCTCTCTCGGCGTTGATTTCGAGCGCGCGCATTGCAAGTTCCCCAAGAGCAACCAATACAAGGGCAAGGGAGACCCCAAGCTCGCCAAGAACTGGAAGTGCGTTGACCTCAGGAAGTTCAACTAATGCCTAAATGCTGTGCCGGGGAAAGAGCTATAGATAACACAGAATCTCTGTTTATATGATGAAAGCCATAAGCCCGACAATCTTTAATAAAAAGTTTCTCTTTTTTTTCCCAAACATTTAGCAAACACGTTTCGTTTGATGTTGAAGGAATAAAGTCCTGACATACTACGGACCGCACCGCTTACTAGCGGGTCCCGAGCCTGGCTCTCTCAGCTGCACGTTGTCGTTCGGCCGCAGCCTGACGAGACGGGCGTTCCAGGGTGCCTGTCATGTGTGACGTAGCATAAGCCGAGGTCCATCGGACTATTGCTACAACACAGTTACTAACTAGTTTGAAAGCAGAAGGCGCGGGAATTTAAATACGACCGCGGAAGCACTCAAGGGTTGAGGGAAGGGAAAAAAAATAAGTGTGCATTATCGGCGTTTATTAGAGTAGGCCGGGGGGGCGGGTTGCATGAGTTACTATAGGTGCGGCGGTATTATTGTTGGCATGGGTCAAGGTTTCTCTCAACTGTCTGTCGGGCCCGAATACCTATTCTGTCCATTTCCCGGTCTCGTCCCTGCAAACTCGAGCCAAAATTTCAGGAGCGCGCCTGCCACTTTGTTTCGCAGGCAAAGAAGTTTGTTTCACCCAAGTGATGAATGATTGCCCGCCCCCATTTCCAAGTAAAAAATCCTACGCCTTGCATCTTAGCTGATAGTAACCCGGCGACTTGCAAACAGGAGGACCAAAAGTATGGCCATCTAACGCGCCTTTTTAACATGCATTCACTGCAAGGGGTAAGCAACGTGGCAAAGAAAATCTGCTTATGAGGACGCATTATCCCGCAATTTTTACAGGGTTTCCCGGATCATCGGATAGTGTCCAAACAGGCGGCCCTACTACGCATACGTTTTACCCCGCAAACAGTTCGCGGCGCCATGGCGGAGATGAAGGAATTCCAAGCGATTAGTTTACCCTGGGCACCTCCGGTATCAGGCGGCCAGGGTGTAAGACGAAAAATGCGCTGAAGCGTGGCTTATACACGAGAAAACAGTGTGCCCCCAGCACCGTATAAGAAGTATGCTTATCGCGCGTCTAAGTCGCCATTCAGCGGTACAAGCAGTCCTTACTTACCTTCCCCCCAATTCCATAATTCTCTCTTCCCGATAGTCTGGGTCTAGAAAACTTATCCCGAATAATCCGGTACTTCACACTATTGAGGTTAAAACCATGCGCTTCACACTCCCCATTGCCCTTCTTGCCTCCGCATCGGCAGCACTCCCAGCCCCGCCCTCGGGAGAATCCAGCAGCACTCCGCCGCTACCGGCATCCGCCATTCTCAAGGCCCTAGCCGGCACTTACGCCCTCGTCAACACCTCCAGCACCCTAAACAACGAGCCCATCCCCGACGCAACCTATGGCGCCGCCCCCGTCGGCAACCTCATCTACACAGCCTCTGGCTTCATGAGCGCCACCATTACCGCTACCGAAAAGGAATTTCGCCCCCTCGTCTCCTTTCCCTTTCGCGCAAACGAATCAGATGCCGATTGGGCGCTCGTCGGCAAGCATAGCATTGGCTATTCCGGCCCATTTAGAATTAATGAGGCTATCCCGGCTACGGCGACCGAAGGGCAGGTTTTCCATGGGCCCTTGACTGTGGCGAATGTGCCGACGATGGTGGGGCAGGAGCATAGGCGGAATTATACGATTGTGGAGCGTGAGGAGGAGGGCAAAGTGGTCAAGTATTTGAAGATTGGGAGTGAGCGTGGTGGTGGGTTCCGTGGTGTGCTTTGGTGGAGGCGATTGGGTTAGATGTTCTGCATGGGGGGATCTAACGGGTTTCTTTTAGCTTTTTTTTTACAACTGTATATGTATGTGTGGTTAAAGCGACTGGGCTTTAGATGGGATAGAAGGACCATTGTTGTAAACTCAATACCGCGAAATGAAATGTACGTCATCATCTTTCACGTTTCGTCTCCTTTAAGTGAGCGGGGGGTTTTTTTTTCTCCTCTTTTCCTTCTCGGGGTCGGGGTTTTCGGGCATGGAGACTAATAGCCGCGCAACATGGTTCTCCTGGCTAGTAGACTTAGGCGCTTGCGATCCCCGTCGTATACCCCAGACATGGTATGGCCATGGTATAACCTACTAACCTATCGTTTTTTCTTTTTTCCGGCTAAGAACAAGCACCCCAAATGCAACTCATTTCCGACGTGACTTTGCATGCATAGGATATATCTTTTTCCCTCAACTACGTACTTACCCTTGGACGCCCGAGCAATTGGCTGAGGATATCATATTAGTGTACAAATCGAGTCGTGTACAGCTTAGCTGCCTTTTTCAAACATGACGCGTACTCAGCAAATATTGTTTGCTCGCTCTCCATTTATTGACGGCGTCGGAGTGCAAGGCTGTATTTGGGCAGTGCGTGTTTATCTCCTGCTGACATATACTCGATTGTGGAGATTAAATGTGAATTAGTGATGAAGTGTTGATATCGATAGTAGCAATCGTAGTAGCAGTAGCTGCGCTTTGACCAAAAATCAACATCCGACGTGTTTCAGACTCGTTTTACGTCCTATCATCGCTACCGTCTAGTTGCCGGCGTATTCATCAATGTGCAACGGTATTGCCCAGTGCGCTAAATGCTTGGTTCATAGGGAAGGCGCATGTTATTCAGCAAAGTCTATGAGGCAGTGACTTGTGCACTGTTAGCTTGTTTGAGGTTATGTTCGTGCGTGAGTAGTTGATTGCGCGATTCTGAGTCGCGTAGGTTCGATAAAGATTCTGGCGTGATAATCCTTGGGGAATCGTATGAGGTGAGGTATTTGTTTGGTATGAGGTGCGCAGAGTTGGCAATATTTAAATATACTAATCAGGGACCCAACCTGATTTTGTTGATCACGGAACGTTCTCGGATTGATTTGGTCATTTGAATTAATTTGATCAAGAACAACCACATCTTGTGAAAGATCTATTATTGTCCAGTGTGTAGGTGTGGTGGTTCGCTACCAACAGTGAGTATATCAGGACTGGGTCTTGCAACCCGGCTAACTTCATTTGTTTTGACATTTCATGATTCAGATGGTTTGATTACCTATTAATAGGGTCGTGTTGGCTTGCTACGTAGTTATGACTGAAGTTGCTGGATACACTAAAATTTGTCTCTAAAATTAGTGCAGGGGTCGGAAACGGAGATAATAAGACAAGAAAGCTTCTTCAGCACTAAAACTTGAAAATAAAATCTCCTTCCTGCAAAACGTGGTGTCAAAATAAATTAGTTTAATGTACTAAGATGTTGTTACAAGTAACAAGAAGGATTCTCTCCTTGACAAGTGACGAGATGGCTGAAGGCCTATGGACGTCCACGTCAGAAGGCAATGATCATCGCGGGGCTGGGTCACGTGATGTGCCATCCCGCCAAGAGCAACCATCCGTGGGATGGCAGGACGCCTTGGGATGGCAGGACTAGAAGCAATGAGGATATAAGGATGGATGGATTTCATTATTTACTCTCGTTGTGGTCAACTCAAATTGTACTTTCTTACTAGTTACTTTACTTAACAAGATTGTTACTC